CTTTCAGAATATGTTTTTTATACTTAAAATGGGTTACATATGTACCTGAAAACAAAGGCAAAACAACGTAGGTGATATAGAATAATTTCTAATTAATCATAGCGCCGCCAACTGTTTCCGCTTCTTCTCTCTATTTACGTTTCATTTCTTATTCATATGTAATAGTTTTCATTATATATACATCACTCATGGTCATTATGCAAATAAAAATTACCCTCATGTCTCATAAGCCGCTAGAGGGCTGTAGACCTTCCTAAGTGTTTGGCAGAATAAATATATATATTTGCACTAAAAAATGTATACGAGAATTGGTGAAATCTCTGTCCATATTTTAATTGATACCTATATTAATCTTTGATTTTAAACAGAAGTAAATCAATATCTCAGTTTTCACTCTGTATATGGTTGCTTTCTTTGTTTTTGAAAGGCACAAATCTGAAAAAAAATACAAAAAGTGGGTCCCTGATTGTTTTGTGATCAACAAGTACAGAATGAAGGCAAACAGAGTACTCTTATAACCAGAAAAAAATATTTTAACTGTGCTCATAAAATTTCTGTGGCCTGTAGACATTTGCTTGTGATAGTTGCCCAACCAGTCACTTTTCTTTTGCTGATTTTTATGTCCTGCCTACTTTATTTCATAAACACTTGAAAAATCAGACATTAAGACCAAACAGTATGTTTAAAAGCTTTTATGCTTATGCACGATACCAAATCTATATAATAAAAGTCAGCCAAAATTCATTTTACTAATAGTATTCAAGAACATAAAGTCTTTTTGGTCCCGACAAACCAAAAGTTTTTATAGAAGAGAGACTACTTCCCAGTTAGGTTAGTGCCATTGTCTTTGTAAACAGAGGATTGTTCATAACGTTTCAAAAAAAAAATCCTGACTCTTGGCCCCAAAGAAACATTAACCCATTCATATATCCAACTTTGCTGAACAGTAGGACCTAGCCCATTCCATTATCCAACAGTGACACAATACAATAGCCTAATCGAACGTCTCTTTTTATTCATTCATGGACTAGTGAGCATGCAACTGCACGGTAATAATGTCATTTCAAACCTTTTCATTTTACAAAATAGTCATTAAATCAGACGAAGAATATTTTAAAATCCAAAATAAATTCAGAGAGGTTCATAGAGTGTTTTTAATACTTTTAAGCTGAAAGCAGAAAAAAATACAGAATTTTGATATATGATTGGATTAATCATTACTGATAAGATGACGATTTGATGAGGAAAAGTATTGGATTCTTATGGAGTTCCATTAGTACAATACTTCTAGCATGTCAATGGTACTTAAACATAGAAAAAGATTGTTCGTGTTATGCAGAACCTACATGCATTAAGATACTAGTATTCCATATCTAAATCTGAGCTAAAAACGGTGTCGAAAATTAGAAGGGATGTCAATTAATTAATTGCTTTTGAAAGTACGCAGGAAAAGTATAAAAAAGAGATAAATCTCGGATAATATGAGGGGATTTGTTGATAAAGGACTCCTGAAATAATCCTCAGCAATAGGAAGTGGTGTAGCTTAAGATTCAACTGGAGGTGAAATGTATTTAGAAGGTGTCAAAAAGTGATGCTTTCAAAATTTAAGACCGGAAACATATCTGTAAAAATATCATTGGATAAGTTTTGGATACACGAGTCTAAAAGACGGTGTGCAAAGTTTGGATGAATTGTATGTAATTTTTGTGAGCATTAGAAGTGCATTTTTAACCATTATCGAATGATTTAATAAATGCGAAGTAAATAATTTCGCGTGTATTAGAAATTACGTTACTTAATATATGTTTTATGCACTTCATCTGGGTATTTAAATATCAAACCGATAGGCAGATGAATATTTTATCCAATTGATGGCTAGTTGGATCTTTTAATAACCAACTACAGATGGTTGGATCGGTAAAATATACATAAACTGATAACAATGGGTGACGTTGCAGAAGTTTTTTTTAAAGTTAGATAAATAACTTGACAGTGTTGAATAGTTTAGAAAAAACATACACTCCTCGGGCCTTCGGCTCTAGAAGAGAATGTTAACTCTAAACTATTCAACAACATTTCGTTATTTATCCATTTCATGAAAATATAACATAACTGGTTTAAATTTTTAACAGTTTAACACTGGTTTTGTAATTACAAATATCCAAAATACCTAGAAAAATATGCTTTCGAAGTTACAAGCACTTTTTTCCTTGCAATTGTCAGATTTTCTCAGGTAAGGGACTTTGAAGTTTTGACAATAATTAATGTATATTTTTTTTTGTTTTTGCACTTTTTCTTTTTTGTTTAAATAAGTTAATAGTAACTATACTCGATTCTCATTATATCGCGGGTTTCATTGTATCGTATTATTGTAAACTATTGGATACATAGCCTATATTCTTTTTTGTGATGGACAATATGTATGTTGTCTGAATGTTTATTTTTTTACGATTAAGAAGTATATAACATCCGTTTGACAAACAAATTCTGAAATAAAACGTAATTTTACAGATGTCCAGTCCCGTTTTTTTTTTATATTTAGAACATGGAATTTATAACTTAGTATAAATTGTAATCAAGATCATCTTTTGAAAGTCTTTCGTTTTTTTTTTCAATTGTTTATTTTTTATGTACAATTACATCGTAAATTCAAAAATAAAAATTGAGCTACATGTCAAGTATAAGTTTCCATGTTTCCCCATACCGCAATACAATGAGACTCCCCAATTTAGGAGGTAAGTAAGACTTTCTGTTTTAAAAATAGACCACGCTTCACGCTTGGAAAATAATTTGACGCTAAAAAGGTAGGTCATAGATAAAATTATAAATATCATTTTATATGTTAAATTAAAAATTTGAAATAACACTTTTTATGCACAAGAAATAAGTACCGCGATATAATGAGACACCAGTGTATATATATATATAGAAGTACATATTTAATTTTTATAAAGATATTGCGATTATGAAAGTGTATATTTCTGAAAAAAAAATTTCCAAATTTGTGCAAATTTGTGAAATGAAGAGAAAACGAATGTTTCTAATTTTAATAATTATCTAAAAAGAAATCTTATGAATTGTTGCCGATAAAAAGGTAAAAAATTCATCATAATTTAAAAAGAAAATACATGTATGGAAATGGAAAAGTCGATGATCTTACAGAAGAATGAATGATATGCATGATTTCGGAGGAGTGCTTAATCAATCATTGAAGCTGGTGTATGTTTGCTACTCCCTCTATCGAAACTTATATTTAGTGTTTTATATCTTATCTTCTCCTTTGGTCATATGCACAACAATTTACCTATGGAGGAATTTTATCTGCTCTAGGGCTATAACGTGATTTAATGAACAGCCAAAACACTCTCGAATTATGCAAGAAATTATATAGTGAATTCATTATACACATTTTGCACTCGAGTGGTTTTACAGACATCATGAAAATAATACGGATGTTATTTCCTTTTGTTAAAATGTTTAGCTAGTTCCAACAGCTGATAAAAATATATTGAATTTATGATCTCAAATATTTAAAAAAAATCTTAATCTGCAATAAGAAAAGACAAAACAAACATTCGAATTTTGAACAAAATTCTTTATTTTCAGCAACAAACCATGTATTTCTTTTCAAAGTGGTAATTAAACGCGCTTATCTTATGATCTAGACTTTCTTGAGAATTATGCCTGAGGTGTGTCAAAAATCTTCACCAAAATCTTCATGAATAAATTTTATATGTTAAAATTTCAAATTCCTATATTTTACAGTCTGGGCATATAACTATGAAATTAGATGCATGACAAAAGCTGTGCCACAATGGGATATGTAGATATCAGATCTGAGGGTACTCAAAGTAAATATCTAAGGATGCTATATTTTTTTGTGATAAATACTGAATATTCTAGAGAATATGATACATGTATAAAGGGATCAGGAGAGGGTATAGTAAATATTGTGCTTATACCGTATTTGTTTAGTAGATATATGAGTATTTTTTGTTTCGTAAATATTGTGCGTATATTTTTGTATATATTATCACGTAGGAAGTGGGACTTTTTTTTCTGTCAGGCAAGGTAACTTTTTTTTTTCTTTTACGTACTTTAACTGAATTTTTAATTGAATTTTTAAATTAAATATCATGATATAAACTTATAAACTGATCAACATCTTTATCTAAGAAAATGTTTGGAAATGTCTGGATGCTGAATTATTAAAAACAGCTTTTCGATTATCTATTGTTATAGAAATAATCACGATACTTTGTCTTTTCCTTTTAATTAATCTACGCAAGTAATTCCACGTATGTAATGTCAAATTTTCAGTAAAATTAATACAAAATGAATTTATTAACAAAGAAATACTTAACAAAGTTGACAACTTCTTTCCTCAGTAATTTATATATCATTTTAGAAATATAAACAGAATTTCTTTTTTATTTTTATCTATGATTCCCATTGAATCTATCATTTTGATTGGAATACTTTTTTCCAGATGACAGCATTGCCATGAAAAAAATATTGTTACATATATGTAGATAAGATGAATAATAGAATACTAAAGATACTAATTCAAAGGCTTTTGCTACAGCATAAGCAATTTTGATTTTTAAAATGCAATCTTCGGAGTCGAAATGTTAAAATCTAACATCTTTCTAAATTTCAGGATTTTGTTTTTCATTTTAATTTCATGTATATAAAACGATTAAAATGAAAAGAAAAATCCTGAAATTTAACCTTCATGCAGCAACAGTGATAATCAACGGAGAATAAATGTTATTATCAATATGAAAAAGAAGTTTTAACCTATGACCAATTATTCATATGACAGAGAAGGTGGGGCATCTGGTATCGTACAAATCAGGTCACCGATCCTTGGTGTTCGTTCCGTCTATTTGCAACTCATTGGGTATTCGCTTATCATTGATCACGTGACATATTTTACTATATATATAAATTGTCTGCATCCGTTCGAACAGTGCCATATCCCCCATTCAAAGATCACTTTCATTTCTTTAGTTCAATCTTAAATTGTCTGGGTAACAATGCGCGCTCACTGGATTCTTTTTATTTGTATTGCTCTTTGCGTACATGATCGGTTTGTTTCCTCTCAGCCGTTTGAGTTTGGACGATTTGGCGACTGTGGTTCAACAGCGTTGGCCGTAGAATGTCCTGATCATGCAACTTGTGTAAATGATAAATGTGTATGTAACAGTGGTTTTGCTCCCGTTGATGAAGAGCTAACAGTTGATGACGAAATAGTCACAGTATGCAGAGGTAATATTCTTTTTTTCTTTTCTGAACGATTCTAACACACTTCTAAGACCAGAACAATTTTTATTTCAAATATTCAATTTGATTGACGGCAAGAGTACGTTTCTATTAAAACGCCTGTGACTTTTTGTGGCAATGTTTCTGTAGGTCTCAGTACTTGTTGAAAAAATGACTTTAACTCTTTAGAGGCCATCTGCGACCCAAGAGACGGCGAGGGTGCAACATCGGATTGCAGCGGTAGAGGGGAATGTGTCATCGGAGAGGAAGGTTACAGATATGGATATGGCTTCTTTTACTGCCTTTGTGACCCCGGATATTACGGAGAAAGATGTGAATGTAAATATTTCAGTTTTGATCATCTTTTTTGTTTCGTACCTCTCTCTCTCTCTCTCTCTCTCTCTCTAATAAAAAAATTACACTTTTTGAAACATTTCAACCGTATTACCGGTCTTTATCAGCAGTATTTATTTGAATGAATAGCAACTCAACATTAACCGTGTATACAAACGATACGCAGTGTATTAATTCTACCTTAAAGTTTCGAGTTTGAATCGAATTCAAAATCATAAGATTTCAGAGAAGACATTTTTCATTTATTGTCCATTAAAAATCCCAAGATGTTTGGTTTCAAGTCATACCTGTAAGGTATACCGGTAGAGTATTTGTAATGCATTATCTAAAAAAAAAAAGAATCTGCTCCAGTGCTTGATTTTACATTGTATTATGTTTCAAAAGATGAAAAATCTAAGTTAAGTTCCCAGATTAAATGATAAAATGCAATTGTTTTCCAGTGGAGTACACCCTATAAGCTTGACCATGTTTTGTCGAGATTTTAGCTGTTCAATAGACAATATTTATAATAAATCTACTAACTGACCTGAGAGCAACTTGATTTTAGCCATTCAATAGATTTTAGCCATTCAATAGAAATCATTTATAATAAATCTACAAACTATCCTGAGACGAAGTTAATAAAAACAGTAAAAATGATTTTATGACATAAAAGGCAAACATTATGCTTATTTTTTCAGCCACAACCCCATTGATAGGAACTAGGAACCCTATTTTCCCTTTCTTCAGATCCACTACAACGATGACCACCACTACACGGCGATACAGAGGAGGTCTCCCAATACTTCTTGGAGGTGGTGCCATCGGTCTTGTTGCTCTTGCTGCTTTGGGAGCTGCACTGGCTTCTACTTCTGGTTAGGTGCCATTCAGAACACAGAAAAAAAAACACGCCAACAGAACGTCTTTGTTATCCTGAGAATATAATAAAATGATTGTCACTATGTAATGCCTTTATTGGAAGAGTGAATGAAAATTTCTGTGAGAGAGAGAGAGAGAGTTAATTATTTCTTTTTAGACTTTGTTTCTAGTGTCCAAGATAATCATACTTGTACATAATTATATGGATTTTTGCTTTTATTCGAAGAAATTCTAGTCGACATAATATTTATTTTTCAAAAATATTTTTTCATGTTTAAATTTTTGTTCGGCATAAATTTAAAAACCTTTTTCATAGATTATAAAATTTATTGATTCTTTGTTGGTTAAAGTCCCTTTCAAGATCATTTGACTCCTCAGAGACGTTAGCATATACCGTTAAAGTACCTTAAAATGTAAATTTATACTCAGTCCTGGGGCTGTTTATCATTTAGGGTCCCATATTGTACCAGCATCTGACACAGGGCCTCCGTTTGTAAGGTCTCATCCGAGAGACCCGTGAGTAATGTTGGGTGGGTTTGTTCCTGTTTTGCACACATTTGAATTTCAGGCTTAGAAAAAAATGTGTGCAAAACGGGAATTTGACCAGGTGAGATAAGTAGTTAATTGGTATAGTCTATACCAAAATTAGTAGATAGGGGAAAGATGAACCTATAGGTGAGAACTGGAAAATAAGATAAGAAATTAAAACAACAAAAATTATTATAAACATTACAAGATTTTCAATTCCTTCAATCTTTACTTTTATAACAAAATAGAAATTTATTATACTAAATAATTAATCATGAATAGTAATCGGTATTCGGGTGTCAATTTCTGAATTATCAGCTTTAATAATTATTGGTTTTTCAAGTCATTTTTTTTTTATTAATATAATGATAACTATTAAATAAAATATTCTATAAATGCACTTTTGCAATAAATTTTCATATACATTAAATTAATATTTATTCTTCCTGTTCATGATACATAGGTAAAATACAGGTAAACCCAGGTAAATCCTAACCTGAAATCAGACTATAATTGTTATCAAAACACATTTCACATCTATTGTTCTATATCTAATTACCGTATATACTCGCCTATAAGTCGGTTTTTTGGGAGTCAAATTTTGGTCCTAAACTCTATGTCCGACTTTAAGGCGAGTCATCAGGAGATGGGTATTTTTCTGGACGCTGAAGTGTAGTATTTCATATGTATTTCTGACGATTATCGAAGTAAATGTCTGGGTATGTATGAAAATCTATGTTTTCTTAGATTATACATAAAAAAACAAGTATTAACTTATTTTAATAATTTTATTTGTATTTTAAGTGAGCATTACCTATCTGTTAAATGAGTGAAGATTAAATATCAGTGTTATTCATAATAATATTAATTGAAACCAGGTTAAAACATCAAGGATTTACTTGAAATTGTCACCCAATTTTGGCAAAAAATTGTACTGACTTATAAGCTGGTCAATGGAAAATCCCATCAAAATAACGTAAAAAAAATCAGTCGACTTATAGGCGGACCGACTTATAGGCGAGTATATACGGTATCAAATGTGTGCAAAACGGGAACACAACGTTGGGTGGTTGGCGATATTTATTACTTACTGTTCAAGGCTTAGGATTGATACAAGCGACACTTAAACTCACGCCTACAAATAAAGAAGCCAGCATCCTACCACTAGACCACCTTGACCGGTAAATTTAAAACTTACTATTTTCCTTGACTAGTAAATTTAAACCTTACTATTACCATTGACCGGTAAATTTAAATCTTACTCTTACCCTTGACCGTAACTTTAAACCTTACTATTACCTGTATATCTTCAAAAACGATGATGATAACTAACAGTGATCGATTTCAAAATGTACAGACTACTCAGTTCTTGAAGGGTATGAACATGGACGCTTATAAATTCCATGGATGGGATCATGTGTCTATGGGGAGAAAACATCCCTGTTGACCCGTCACACCCACCATGAGCCCTATGTGTTGATTAGATAGAGGAAGAGTCTGTAAACTCTGTATAAAAACAAAGGTCTGGCAATTTGTATGCGACTTATCAGGCAACAAGATGACTAAATAATATTTTATATCTAATATTAAAGTCATTATAACGATCAAAGAATTTACGAAATGTTAATTTTTTAATGAGGCCGGTAACATCCATGTAATCCATCAACTAATCAATATTTAGCTTCCTTCGATTTGGATATTTAATATTTAAGATTTCTTTGATTTAAGAAAACAACTTGATAAAACAAGAATATCAGCAAACTCGTTAAAATCATCATTTTGTAAGTTTTATATACTCGATAGAATGACCTTGTCAGCAAATGCAATCTATCATTAAGTGAAATGCTGACTGACGTTTATCATACAAAGTGTAAGGCCATTACATATATTTATGCACTGAATTGAAGACGGACTTTTGCGGTTTTTTCAATCATGACAAGGAGCACACGGCGGGTGTGACCGGTCGACAGAGGATGCTCACTCCTCCATGGCACCTGAATCCAACTCTGATGTTTTGGAGGTTCGTGTTTGCTTTGTTCTATTTTTATTTTGTATAAAAAGAATCATCAAAAGTCAGAAGGGAAATAACTATGAGAGATAGAGGTAATTAGAATCCAGAAAAATTATGTCTCTAAAATTTGTGGAGATATCGAAAAGTATTCGAGCTAAAAAGTCCATTAAACATTTTAAAATAGGAGCAAATTAAACATGGATCTAGAAGCCATGGAGGGGTGAGCATCCGTTGCCGACCGTGCACATATACTTTGTGCTCCTTGTCATGTTCGGGGGGAAAACGGCAAAATCGATAGGCATCTCAGTGTGAAAATAATGGCCGAACAATCAATGTGGAAAAAATTCAGTCGGCATTTGACTTAATGATAAGTTGTATTTTCTGACAAAGTAATTGTTTCGACCATAAAACTTACCAAATGATGAATTTAAACGACACTACAGATATTCTTACTTCATCATCATCAACGCGTTCTTCAATAACTTACCTTCTTTTAGAAATTGTTTATATGTATAACATGCCCTTTTGTATCGAATCAGTTGATCGAGAGATATAAACTCCGCATGCATGTGACAAAGGTATATTGCTGCATAAGTAAGGAAAGTTGACGATTGAAAAAATAAAGTCATAACTATGGAACGCCATAGCTGCCTTATGTGGCTATTTCATATTATGCTGTGGTTATTTTATATGAAGATGGTGCTCTATTATATTATGCTGTGGTTATTTTATATGAAGGTGGTGCTCTATTATATGAAGATGGTGCTCTTTTATATTATGCTGTGGTTATTTTATATGAAGATGGTGCTCTATTATATTATGCTGTGGCTATTTTATATGAAAAAGGTGCTTTTTTATATCATGCTGTGGTTATTTTATATGAAGATGGTGCTCTTTTATATTATGCTGTGGTTATTTTATATGAAGATGGTGCTCTATTATATTATGCTGTGGAAATTTATTTCAATGCATTTATCGCAAAAAAAACCCAGGATTTTTCCCATCTGGATTTCATCTATATGCACAAAGGATGCCAAACTAATATACTTTCAATATAGAATTCTTCTCTTTACAAAATAAACATTACTGAAAATAATGTTTGTTTTTTTTTCCTGATGAATTATTTTTTATGGTGTAAGCATCTCTTTGAGAGAGATTTTCAATATTGTTAAGGTTTTCCCTTAAATCGATTTGGTTTCTCCCTTTGCTCAGCTCCAAATCTTATGGCTCTTAGTTTACAAACATTTATACAAATCCTATGCATCCCAAATTTCCGTAAGACCTATGCGTTGCCTACTATGATAGTCCATCTGAAAAAAAATGACCCGACTTAATTTTTTTTTAACCTACAGCAGGCAATCATTTTATTACATTCAAGAAGAATAGATTTCGGAAAAAATAGACCAAAAGAGAATGCACACACCTGAATTAGAAACTGATCACACTTCTGATGATTTAAAGCTTGCTCTGCTTATTGTTTAAATGGATTTTTGCCACGGATATTGTTCGTTAGCAACATGTTTCAATTTTGATTAAAAAAATTCCACTTAACAAGATACACAATTTTTATTTTAAGGCATGAGAGGACAAACGACAATTATTGAACATTTTAATTATACATGTACATGTATTTTGATTTTCTTCTTAACTCAAAACCAAGGAGTAAACTTGTAAATAATATGTTAATTGATATATATGTCCTATATTTATTTAGGGTGTTTAAAAAGAAATTATATAAGATTTAGTTTAACAGTCTGAAATCAAAAGTAAAAATATTTGATTTACTTTAGCACATAAAAAATTTTGGTTACAATAGTAAAAACTTGGATACTATACTTAGTCTAAACTACAGCAAATTAAAGGTTGCACTATACAGTGTTTTTCTTTGTAAAATGCAAAGCATTGACAAGGTCTTAATTTAACACATTTTTTGTTTTCCTTTTATGAATTTGCAAAACAATACTTTATAAATACGAAAACATAGCTACATGTACATGTATGTAGCAAGGTACACAAATTTTTTGATCGAATTCGATTTTATGTTTGTTTTATTTGCTTGTTATTTTATGCCCTTTTCGATAATGTTTCACTATTATGGATCCGCCACCACTTGCCGGTGGAAAGCTGCACATTTTGACCCATAATCAGTGCTGGAGGCCATTGAGCAGTGAGGGATCTTTTACGTGCCAGCACCTACTGTGCATGCGACACAGGACCTCTGTTTAATATTGAAGGGTCCTTTCTCCACATCCCATAGTGGGATTCAAATTTGCGACGTAAGGATCCACTAATTACTCTAGGGCGACTGAGGGGCAAAATGACAGCTAACTTCAGTTACTAGTATTCAGAAAGGTAAATTCTGGTCATTGCTGACAAAGCGGGTAAAAACTTTGTCTTTGTTTGTAAGGTCATTATTTAAATTGTATTTTAGAGGAACTGGGATTTAACACTAGTATAGGTAATCCAACTTATACCATAAGCTCCCTTTCTAATGAAGAAATTAATTCAGACACATGGTATGACACAATTGTAAGACTGTAAAATCTGTAATTTTTATCCCTTTTATCTAAG